TGTGTGTGTGTACGTGTGTCTTCCTAAAGGTGTTGAAAAGAATATGAAGCAATATTTAAAAGCATTAGAGGTCATTTTGTAAAAAAAAATAAACTTCTTTATTTGGCTGCAGCATTTTGTGGGGGGTCGAAGGGAAAAGGTGAAAATAGTTTGCCATGGATTTGGCCAGAAAAATAAATTGCCCTTTGCTGTGGCCAGCAGCGAGATTTTGTTGACACTCATGGATTATTTATTTGTTTTTCTTTTTTCATAGTTTGCGCTTCTTCTTTTTTTTAGTTTCGGAAGTTTATTTTGGACTCTATCGCAACTATTGGTGCTTTATCTTTGCTAATATTTTATTTTGTTATGGCAAAATGCCCCCCGGGGACTTCCAGCACAACAAATATGGCCATAGATTTTTCTTTGGTTTAAATGTGAGTTTAGTTTTCTTGAATTTTAGATTTAAGGAAGGGGAGCTTTTAGAACGAAAAGATAAAATTTTTTCAACTGATTTCAATTCCAATTCCACTTCCGTACTTTTTTTTTTTTTTTTGAATCGGTGTTTTCAATATTTTTTTAAATTCAAGGCTGTCTCCGCCTAAATGTCCCCAACCCGAAACAAATAAATAAAAATAATATGAGTAAACTGACTGGCCTTAGGGCATAGACTTAAAGCCCAAATCCTTTGGCCATGCATTTTTTTTTTTTTTTTTTTGTAGATCAATGTTGGCCGGTTATTGTTATTCTAAAAGCAAAACAAAGGACGATAAAAACCTCAACCTTGTGGGGTGCTCTTCAAAGTGGAAACAACCAAAAATGGCATTGTACTGTAACAAACTTAGGGTAACTAAACCCATTTAAGGAAGAGAACGAGACGATTTTTAGAGCCAATTAAAGACCTACGGGGTTTTTTCATAGTGGTCTTAAATTAGTCTACTCATAAAAGACGTGGAGCAGACCTGCATGGATCCTGCCTTTAAAGGTCTTAGAAAAAGCCTCAACAAGTCCACGCTTGTGGCTTGGGAAGTGCTTGAAAAATTAAAATAAAAATTATATTCATAGCATGGAGTGCTCTTGGCAAAAATTAAAAAAGCACCCGTCCTGGATCTTTGAAAAGAAAAAAAAAACATAGAACCTTCTTTAAAATCTCTAAAATACCTAAATTATATGAAAAATTAAAAATAAAATAAAAGTAAAACCAGTAAAGAAAGTCTTAAAGTCGGGCGGGGCCGACTTTGAAATCGGATAAAGTTATATATGGGAGCTATATCCAAATCGGAACCGATCTCGATAAAATTTAGTAAATGTATTTCTGAGCTGTATTTGATATATTTCCCCAAATATTGTTGTTACAGAGTGCATATTACGGCTGCGGAGGACAAAAATAACAAATCGGAAGAACAGTATATATGGGAGCTATAGCTATATCTGAACCGATTTCTATCAAATTTGGCATACTTATTTTCAGACCTAATTTGGTTGTATGTGCAAAATTACATACTATTCGGGCTGATATTACACGTTTGGTGCACAATAAAAGCAAATCGGACGAAGATATATATGGGAGCTATATTTAAATTTTGACCGATTATCTCCAATTTTAATAGGGTTCGTCCTTGGGCCAAACAAATGATTTGTGCAAAATGTCATCTGGATAGGGCAATATATGCGAACTGTACTTTGTTTACAAAAATACATGGACAGACGGACAGCAGACGGACATACGGACGGACAGACAGACATACGGACGGACGGACATGCATAAATCGACTCAGAATGTGATTCTATGCAGATCATCAAAAGGAACTATGGGTCTATCTCGTTTCCTTTTGCCTGTTGCAAACAAAAGCGCAAAAACACATAATACCCTGACCACCTTGTGGTGTAGGGTATAAAAATTCACGACAATGGCTATAAAAATCCTTGAACAGTCCATGCTTATGGCTTGGAAAAACTTTAGAATTTTAAAGAAATTGTCAAATTCTTATCCAGAATATATCTTGGAAAAATAAAAGCGCTCACGGTCTTCATGTCTTCTCTATGACAATGGGATATAATTGTGGATTTTTCATGAATATTTTTCAGCGACCAAAAAAACCAAAAGTGCGGATTTTTTAAATTTAAAAATAAAAAGCCACAAACGTGGATTTTTCAAGATTTTTTTCATGGGCCTTTCATGGTTGTCTAGATTTTTTAAAGGATATGATTTCTTAAAGGACTTTTCCAATCGGGAATGTTTTAAAGAATATTTTTTAAGAACCTTAAAAACGTGGATTTTTTAAAGAATAATTTTTCAAGGACATTTTCATACGTCGATTTTTTATGAATATTTCTTCAAGGACCTTTTCAAAGATTGATTTTTAAGGACCTTTAAACGTGGATTTTTTAAAGAATTATTTTTCAAGAACATTTTCATACGTGGATTTTTTAATGAATATTTCTGCAAGGACCTTTCTAAACGTGGATTTTCCAATGAATATTTTTTAAAGACCTTTCTAAACATGGATTTTTCAATGAATATTTTTAAGGACCTTTCTAAACGTGGATTTTTGTAATGAATATTTTTAAGGACCTTTCTAAACGTGGATTTTTCAATGAATATTTTTTAAGGACCTTTCTAAACGTGGATTTTTCAATGAATATTTCTTGATGGACTTTTTCAAAGATGGATTTTTTAAGGATCTTTAAACGTGGATTTTTCAATGAATATTTCTTCAAGGACCTTTTCAAAGATGGATTTTTCAATGAATAGTTTTAAGGGCCTTTCCAAACGTGGACTTTTCAATGAATATTTTTTAAGAACCTTTAAACGGGGATTTTTTAATGAATATTTTTAAGGACCTTTTTAAAAGTGGATTTTTTGAATATGAGGAAATGAATATTCGAGGAAATGAATATTCTTTCAAGACCATTTTCTTACGCGGATTTTTAAGTTAAATTTTTTAAAGGACCTAAATTGTTTAAGGAAAAATTTTCAATGACTTATCAAAGACTTTTTAGAAACATATTTTGAAGGACAAAATATGGATTTTTAAAAAATAAGTTTTCAAGGACTGAATCAAGCACAAATATATTAATGAATAATTTTTCAAAAACCTAAAATTGCAACAAACATATATGTTATGTGAATCCAAGGACTAAGGGCGACAAAAACCAAGAACAAAAGAACCCAGACACGTTATTCATTTATTTTTTAAATTTTTGACCTGAAGCGTGACTTTAGCAGGAATTAAGCGAGCCTCAAACTCCGATTTTTAAAGAATGGTTTTAGGGCTTTTTTGCACAAACGTGGATTAATAAAAAATAATTTTAAGAAATAAAATAGCCACAAACGAAATGGTTGAAATTTTTCAAGGTCTATAAGAGCCACAATCATGAACATCTTTTTTTTCAAGGACTAATAAAAATAATATATAAAAAAAAATTTTCATCGATCAAAGAAGCCACAAAGGTGGATTTTTTAAACAATGCATTTCCAGGCTTTGGAAATAATTTTTTTAAGCAAACTTTTACAATGACCTTGCGAAGCCTTCAAGCCACAAACGTGGATTTTTTTTTCTGGATTTTTTTACCACAAATGTGGATAAGAATATTTTTTTTCTTTGGGATCTTCCATAAATGTGGCTATTTGAAGATTGTTTTTCCAGGGGCAAATATGGATTTTTAAAGAATTAAGGAACCTATCAGTCTGTCTGTCTGTTGAAATCACGATGCAGCCCACACTATTTGATATAGAACTTTAAAATTTGGCACAACAATTTGTATTGAGTCTAGGATGGTTGGTATTGAAAATGATAATTATTTATCGGTAAACGTTTTTTTAAAGCCCCCATATAGCAGTACCTCTCGATATACGGTATTTTAAAGATTTTTGTCACTTTTTTGATTTATCTAAAAATTGGATCGATATGGATTCTAGCTTTGATGGCAAAATATAGCATGTATAGGTCTTCGCTTTTGTACAGACCCCATATAACGGTACCTTCCGTTATTCGGTATTTGAATGGTTTGTGCCACATTTTTCCAGGGTTTTGGCCAGGAACTTGTCTGCGCAGGTCCACATTTTGGTATAGTCCCCATATAACGGCACCTTCCGATATTTGGTATTTTGATGATTTTAGCGACATTATTCACCGAAATTGTTTGAAACTTCGTATTTGAAGTTTAAAATGGATACTACAGTCTAAGATAGAAAATTGTCTGTACTGTTCCAGGTCTGCGTATAGCCCCCATACAAAGGTACCTCCCGATATTCGGTATTTTGATGATTGATGATGTTTCAAATTTGGTATTTGAAGTTCGAAATGGATACTACAGCCTAAGACAGAAAATTGTCTATGCAGGTCAATGTCTTCGAAGGGCTCCCATATAACGGTACCTTCCGATATTCGGTATTTCGATGATTTTCGCGACATTACTCACCGAAATTGTTTGAAATTTCGTATTTGAAGTTCGTAACGGATACTATAGCCTATGACAGAAAATTGTCTGTGCAGATCCACGTTTTGATATAGCAACCATATAACAACGGCACTTCCCGATATTCGGTATTTTGACCATTGAAGGTACAATAATCACCGAAATCGTTTGAAATTTTATATTTGAAGTTTCTAACAGGTACTTCAGCCTGTGACAGAAAATTCTCTGTGCAGGTCCAGGTTTATTTCTTTTTTTTAATTGCCAAATTCTTTCCAAATGGTGGAGGGTATTCAAAGTTCGTCCTAGCCAAACTTACAGCTTTTTTACTTATTTTTCATTTTTTAATTATTTATTTATTTATTTATTTTTTGTTTAATTGTATTTTTTTATAGTAACCTTTTGTCAATTTTAGATTTTTTTATCAATAGTTTTTTTAAAGAAAATTTTTTAGAAAAATTTTCAATGAAACCTCATCCCCCGTTGACCAATTTTTTTTATTTTTTAAATGCTTCTTTCTAGAAAACCCTGGAAACAGCATCCATGGCAACCCCTAAAAAATTGTGGTGGAGAAGCAAAAAAAAAAAACGCAAAAAATGACTTACCTTTAATTATCACAAATATAAGCAAAACCAAATACAGCGATGTTGACGAATCCATTATGGTCAGTCTGTGATGATATCCTTTTTTTGGTGTGTGTTCCTTAAAGCCGGGGGGTGGCTGGCTGAGTTGGTTGGTTGGTGCGACAAGGCAGCTAAACAAAAAAATGGCAAAGCAATGAAACTTCCTCGAGTGGAAGATGCAGATTTGCGTAGAAGAAGACGAAGACGAAGAAGTTTCCGTTTTTTCAGGTTTTGCGGTTTCCTCTAGCTACGTATTGCTGGAATCCGTATAATTCGAAAAAAAAAAAATAAGAAACAGGCCTTTCTTGCTCTGCTAATGAACGACTTAATGATTTTGCTTTAGGTCCTGCTATTTCTTGTCTCTTTTCGTGGGATTTCAATAGATTAGCATAGCTCTTAAAGTCCGGGTTTTTTTTGCCGGGGTAGATTTTATTTAGACCAGGAAGAAGTCGTGCGAGTTGTTGCGGATTATGATGGGTTGTCGTTAAGTGAACTATGATTGCTTATATTTTTTTGGGAACTAATGTTAATATAATTAAGCAGGAGCGTAATCTACAGTTAGAGATAGTTGTAAAGATAATAAGTTTATTTTTTTCGGTTTTGTTTTTTTTTTTCGGTTTTGGGAAAAAGTAGTTGAAGATTTCAGTTATTTAAGTGGCAGTTATTGTTGTTTTTGTTGTTGTGCTTGCAAATTTTGCTGTGCTCTAATTTGACTGACAGCCAAACTGATATCATAGACCATCATCTTAGAATCATCATTGCTATGGTGTGGTTGTTGTGTTTCTTGCTCTCCTAGAGGATGGTGAGGGGTGATAGCTCAGGAATCTTGTCTCAACCAAACAAAAATATATGGAAGTCAAGATTTATGGAATTTTATGAAACTAATTTCTATGGTTTCATTATTTAGTTATAGAGAATTTTTTTCACTTGTTTAAATTGCAGATATTTTTGTTTTCAAATTTATTTTCACTTATTTACAAATATTTATTTTTTAAATATTTTTTTTTTTAAATTTATTTTTATATATAAATATTTTTAATATTATTTTTTTATTTTATTTTTATTTATTTATTTTATTTTATTTTTTTTTTATTTCAGAACACAATTGATATTTTTTCTTTTCTTTCCGAACTCTATTCTACAAAATTTTTTCTTCTTTTCTAATTTCTAGGTGTGATGTGATTATTTTATACTTGCATTGCTCTAAGCTTATTTTCTAATTTTCTAGATTTTTCTTTTTTGTTTCTTTTGTTTAAATATTTGCTTTTAATTTCATTTTGTTTTATTCTTCTTCTTTTGCTTCTTCTATTATTTTTTGCTTTTTGATTTTAAGGAAACCTTTAGAATTGTTGTTCACAGGAATTCACTTCACTTGTAAAAGGTAATAAACTGTATCGTTGTGTTGTTTATATACGGAGATTTGCATAGAGAAATGGGGGGTGGTGATGGTGCTTGTGTTGCGGCTGAAAAGAGAGTAGGACAAAAGGATACAATTTAGATTAGATTTTTGAAATGAAAAAAAAAATATTTAGAGAAATGTATATAATTTGTTTTTTTCTAAAATTTTAAACAGTTTATTAAATATGAAAATTGAAGTGCTAATTTTCCGATTCAAATTTGGTTTCAAAATCGATGATGGAAATTCGACTTTTTAAAATAGATTTCAAAATTTCACTCATAGATTTTTGGTGGATTTTTCCAATAGCAACCCAAAAGTATGCAATGATTAACAAATAAAAAATTAGCTATGTTCGGCCGGGCCGAAGGCACTTGAAAAAATTCAACAAATTCCGAAAAATAACCTTTAAATTATGAGCTTTATACGGGAGCTTAGAGAAAATGCGGACCTGCATAAGTAATTGTTGTCATAGACTGTAGTAACCATTGAGATCTTCAAATACAAAATTTGAAACAATTCCGGCGAATGATGTCACTAAAATCAACAAAATACCGAATTAGGGATATATCGTTATATAGGGTCTTTACGAAGACGTGGAACTATATTCACAATTTTTTGTCATAAGCTGTACTACCCAATACGATCTTCAAATATGAAATTTGAAATAATCCCGTCGTATGACGTCGCTGAAATCATCAAAATACAGAATATCGGGAGGTACCTTTATATGGGGGCTATACGAAGACATGGACCTGTACAGACAATTTTCTGTCATAGGAAATACTATCCAATATGATTTTCCAAAACGAAATTTGAAACAATTCGGGCAAATAATATCGTTAAAATCATCAAAATACCGAATATCGGGAGGTACCGTTATATGGGGGCTATACGAAGACCTGGACCTGTACAGACAATTTTCTGTCATAGGAAATACTACCCAATACGATTTTCCAAAACGAAATTTGAAACAATTCCGGTGAAAAATGTCGCCAAAATCATCAAAATACCGAATATAAGGAGGTACCGTTATATGGGGGCTTTACGAGAACGCGGACCTGCATGAGTAATTTTTTGTCATGGGATGCAGTACCCATTACCTATTTCAAATACCAAATTTGACACAATTCCGGTGAATAGTGTCACTAAAATCATCAAAATAACAAATATCGGGAGGTACCATTGTAAGGGGGCTATAAGAAGACGTGGACCTGAACAGACAATTTTCTGCCGTAGGCTGTAGTATCCATTGCAAACTTCAAATATCAAATTTGAAACAATTCTGGTGAAAAATGCCCCTAAAATCATTAAAATACCGAATATTGGGAGGTACCGTAATATGGGGGCTCTACGAAGAAGTGGACCTGCACAGACAATTTTCTGTCTTAGGCTGTAGTATCCATTACGAACTCTAAATACGAAATTTGAAACAATTCGGGAGAAAAATGTCGCTAAAATCATCAAAATACCGAATATCCAGAGGTACTGTTATATAGGGGCTACACCTAAACGGGGACTTATATAGCCCATTTACAACACAAAAAGTCCTGGAGACTAAGCACACATTTGAGTAAACTTTTATTAACTTACTTCCATTCTTTCGGAAGCTAGAGTGATTTCCACAGACAGACGGACGATCATCGTTAAATCGACGTAGAAATTTATGCTGATCAAGAATATATATACGTTTTGGGGTTTAAAATGTATATTACAAACGTATTGACAAACTTGATATCCCTACATACTATGGTGGAGGGCATAATAAGACCAAAATGAGATGAAATCATCTCTAGAAATATTTTTACCTCAAAATGGACTTGAATCACCTGGAACTCAATCAAAAATCGATTTTCGACATGGACAAATTTTCGATTTGGACAAAATCAATGATTTTTTTTTTTTTTTTTTTCAGAGTCCAAAGTTAAGAGGTTTAATAGATGACTTTTATTTTCTAGAATGTATCTCTAGATTGTTAGTTACAAGTCAAAGTCGACTGTTTATAATCGATTTTCGTTGGAAATTCGACAAAATTTTCCCTTAAAATAGATTTTAATCACCTTGTCGCAGTCCAAGAAAAAAAAACCGAAAATCGAAATTTTTTTGCTATGCGGACTAAATTGTTAGAAAATATTAATATGTTTTTTTTTTTCAGAGGTCAAAGTCAAGATGCTCAAAAGACGACTTTACGATTATGTTTTCCTAGATTGTCAGTCAAAGGCCAAATTCGACTTTTTATAATCGATTTTCGATTTTGCAGTCCTAAACATTTGATTGATATTACAGCCGCAAAAATTGCCAATCAAAATTTTTACACAAAAAAAATATCTAATCGAAATCATCTTTAATCAATTTTGACTTTAACGTAAAAAAGTCGAAAATCGATTTTTGGTTAGGTGGAAAAAATCAGTAGACCAAAGAATCGATTTCGACTTATTATAATCGATTTTCGATTTTGCAGTCCTAGATATTTGATTTATGTAACACGCGCAAATATTTCCCACCAAAATTTTTACACAAAAAGATCTAAAATCGAAATCATATTGAATCAATTTTGACTTCAAAGCAAAAGTCGAAAATCGATTTTTGGTGAAGTGGGAAAAATCAGTAGACCAAATAATCAATTTGATTCGTGAGAGTCCGAAGGTGAGAAGTTAAAAAGATGACTCTTGTTTTCGACAATATATCCGTATATTGTCAGTCTTAAGTCAAATTCGACTTTTTATAACCGATTTTCGTTGGAAATTCGACTTTTTACAATTGATTTTCAGTTTTTCACTTATAGGTTTTTAAGGATTTTTTTTTCTAATACCAGCCGAAAATATGCAAGGATTAAAACAAAAAATGAGAAAATTATGCCCATTCAAATTTTTTGTTTTCAAAATCTATGAAGGAAATTCGAATTATTTTTACCATAGCTTTCCCATTTTTCAATCATTTATTCTTATTCGATATTTTTATACTAGCTGAATAGTATACAATGAAGGCAAAAATGTGATCAAGTTATCTCTTAACAAAATTTTCCCTTAAAATCGATTTAAATCACCTTGTACTGCGTAGAAAAGGTCGAAAATCGATTTTTGGTTAAGTGGACATAATTGATAGGAAATATTTATTTTTCCGAGCCCAAAGTCGACAGATTACATAGACCCTATATATGTCTATATTGTAAGTTAAAAGTCAAGTTCGACTTTTTATAATCGATTTTCGTGGGAAATTCTACTTTCAAAAAACAAAAGATTTTCAATTTTCTATTTATAGACTTTTGATGTATTTTTTAGTGCAAGTATGCAATAAATTGAAAATACAAAAAATGCATCCATTCAATTTTTTTTTTAAATCTATGAAGGAAATTATCAGTTATAAGTCGAATTCGACTTTTAAAAATCGATTTTCGTAGGAAATTCTACTATAACAATAGATTTTCAATTTTTCAAAAATCAAAAAAAATAATAAAAAAAAATCGTATCTTAAAATCGACTCCACCGATGTATTCCATCTTCACAGCAGATCTTGTGTTAGTAAAATTAATGAAATGTGTGAAATATGAAGAGAACCGGGTGCTCATTTGGGATTTTATAATCGTTTTGGTTATTCAAAACTTCGACCCTTTGTGGGGGAGGTACCAGAAGGAATGGTCCGATCTCTACCATATTTATAAGAAATCTTGTGCTTATGGAAATATTGAGACCTACCAAGTCTGAAAAAATCGGTCTGAAAAAAATG